ACAAAATAAAACAAGCCGGCAGGCCTGCCCTGGAGTACGTGCGAGATTTTAGCAAGATAGCTGTCAACGCTGCTAATATTGAATATTTTTACTTTGACAAAATATGCAGAACTGTCTGGTACTTTTAGAGTTAATTCAGATGAGAATGAGAGAGGAGAGAAAAGCCCACGGAAGGGAACGGAAGTGAATCTTTGCCCTCCAGGTTAATTGGAAGATGTGAATCATGACCCCAAAATAGGGAGGGGAGGTGAAATGCCTGGAATGTTATGTGCAAAGGAAGGGAAATTCAGATCTTGGCATTCTCCATGCCATGCTGACACTCCTTTTACACTAATAAAGGCTTTTTAGGTTAAACCATGCCTGAAAGTTCTTTGAAGTGTTTCATTAGTCAGACACGTGACATCATGCCAAGATCCACAAATTTTTTAAACCAATTAAGAGGTCCCGGACCTCGGTCACTATTCCTAATCTAAAGGGGATAAACTGACAAAGATTTGGGGAAGATCTCATTATGGAAGGAGAAAGATGGCTTGAGGCCAGCACCTCAGCAGCAGCAGCTTCCCCAGGGAGGGGAACGACAGCAGCAGCAGCTTCCCTCGGTAGTGGAGCGGTAGCCAGCCAGCCGGGGGAGAAAGAACTCTGGCAGATCTCCCAGCTGGGAGCAAAGACTTCAAAAGCAGAATGGGGAGATAACGAAGTTTTGGGTGAGTCACTGGAAAGATTTCAAAACCCAGAGGTGAAAAGCAGAAATCAATTCCTGGAGAGAGGAGCCTACACCCCTCCCATTGCACATCAGAAAGCCTGTCAAATCCTGTCTTCCCCTGCCAGGGACCCCAACCCTGAAGAGAGAGGGAAATCCAGTCTGAGGCATCTGCAGCAATGGGTAGATTGGGTTCCCCAGCAGACGGATGGTCAGCGATTTCTGAGCTTGCCACAGCTAATAGAGGTCTTGCAACAGCTTGGGGTGGTGCAGAAGCCAGGACATCAACAGCTGGTGGGAGACCGACCACAGCAGGGAGATTGGCCACAGCCCCCAAACGTGCAACCCCTGGGCATAAATCTGCAGCCATGATGGGGCCAGCAGCAACAGCCACAGTGGGGGCCCCAACAGCCTATAATTGCACCACTTTTCAGAGCAACCTTCAGTGGGGACCCAGAGAAGCTGGTTTTTTTCCTCAACCAAGTGCGTTCTCATTTGAATTGCTGGGCCTATCTCTGCCTGGACCCGGGGGCCATGGTCGATGTGATTGCATCCAGCCTAGAGGGAGAAGCATCCGAATGACTGAACAATTTATATAACAAGCAAGCCCCCGAATTGGAGGACCCCCACCTCTTCCTCCTAGGGCTGAGAGAAAGATTTGAGTACCCATCTATTGGTCTTAAAGCAAGAGAACAGATCCACAAAATAAAACAAGCCAGCAGGCTTGCCCTGGAGTATGTGCGGGAATTTCGCAAGATAGCAGGTCGAATAGAGGGGTGGCCTGAACAATCTCTAATCCATCACTTCATTGAGATATTAGACGATCACCTCTCTCAGGCCTGCATCTATCGAGCTGTACCTGATCAGCTACAAGATCAGGCGGCAGTGAAGCTAGACGTTCAGCTCGCCCGCTATAAGAAGCCTCCCCCACCTGAATCTGAGCAGCAGCCAGAGCAACCCGGACAGCAATCACCCCCAAGAAAACCTACAACTACTGCGATGGCTGAGAGACCCAGACCACCTGCAGGCCTGTCAAATAAGTGTTTTCGGTGTGGACAAGAGGGACATCGAGTGGCAACCTGTCCAGTCCCCTACCCCCGACTGCAGAGCAGACCGAAACCATCGACGAGAAGGAAACCTGCTCAGCGGCTAACGAGAGTTAAATCCAACCGGGTCATGCAAGAACCTGTTGCCCAGATTACACCCCCCACACAAGAGGACTCCGGGACTCCGGGTGGACCCGCCCCTGCTCTACCCTCCTTTGACAGCGACGATGAAGGAGAGAATGAGCCGATGGTGAGTCGGCAAATCCAGCCTTTTTCACTGGTTGCCAAATTTATAATCCCTAAATCTGGGGCACAAATGGACTTAAACGTGCTAATTGATTCTGGATGCACCCGCTGCATTATTAGTCTGCCGGTTGCTATGAAAATGGGCATATGGGCAAAACAGCTTTCCAAACTTGTGAGGTTTGAGCAAGCCGATGGCTCCCTGATGGGAGGGACTCCTGTCACACAAGTAACTGAGCCCTTACGCCTAGAAATAGGTGCACACTGGGAGTTTATTCGCTTCCTAGTGGCTCCAAAAATGACTTAGACTGTGATCCTAGGGCTAGCCTGGTTGGACAAATGGAAGCCATTTATCTGGTGGGAGAAAGGAATGAGAACTGTGAGACTACCTATAGGGCCTAAACCTCCCGCTGATTCAACCGATGTTGCAGGACACCTTAGGCCACCCAATGAGCGAGCGCACATGGCTGCTTCACCGCTGCCGAGCGAACCACTCATCCCCAATGAATACCGGGATCTGGCGGAGGCATTTAGTGAAAAAGAATGTGATGCCCTGCCCCCTCACAGACCCAATGACTGCTCCATCAAACTGGTGCCAGGAGCCAAACTCCCACACCCGAGAATGTATGCTATATCCCCCCTCGAAATGGAGGAGATGCAGCGATACGTGAATAAAAACCGAGCGAGGGGGTTCATCGAACGGGCCAAATCTACCGTGGGAGCCCCTGTGTTGTTCAAAGAATAAAAAGATGGATCTATTCGTCTCTGCGTAGACTATAAAAGTCTCAACGCTGTGAGTATGGAGAATAAATATCCCCTCCCCCTCCTAAATAACTTATTAACCCATCTGGCTAAGGGGAGTGTCTTCACTAAATTAGACCTGAGGCATATTACCGGGTGAGAATAAAAAAGGGAGACGAGTGGAAAACTGCCTTCAACTGTCCTATGGGGAGCTATCAGTTCAAAGTCATGCCATTTGGACTACAGGGGGCCCCAGCCGTATTTATGCAGTTGATTAATGAGGTCCTACATGATCACTTGTACAAGGGGGTTTTGGTGAATCTTGATGATATCCTGATATACAGCACGAATATGACTGATCACATAAAGTTGGTGAGAGAAGTGTTAAAGAAACTATTGAACGCCAAGCTTTATGCCAAATTGTCGAAAAGTGAATTTCACCAGACCCGATTAGATTATCTTGGCTACAGAATTTCCAACGAGGGTATTGAAATGGATCCAGCCAAGGTGAAAGCTATAATCGAATGGCAGCCCCCAAAGACTCGCAATCAGCTCCAGAGCTTTCTGAGTTTTGCCAACTTTTATCATCAATTCATCCCCTCTTTTGCCAAGATTGCCCTACCCCTTACAGAACTACTCAAAACAGGCAAAGGAGGAGGGAAGCCACGACCGGGCCAACCACCAGCATGGACGATGGAGAAACACAAAAACTGCATTAAAAAAGACTTCCGAGACCTATAAAAAGCAGGCTGATAAAAAGAGGGCTCCCCAAAGAACATTCCAAGTTGGGGAAAAGGTTTATCTGTCAACTAAATATTTACGCCTCAAATTGCCCAGCAAGAAATTGGGACCAAAATTCTTGGGGTCTTTCTCCATCGTAAGGATCATCAACCCCATCACAGTAGAATTAAAACTCCCTAGGCTTTTAGGGAGGATTCACCCTGTCTTCCATTGCAGCTTGTTAAAACCTTGTTGGGGCTTCACTTTAAGAAGGCACCCGGGCCCCTCGTAGTAGTGGGTCAGACTCACTATGAAGTGAAACGTATTCTCGACTCTAGAATTTTTAAAGGGAAATTGCAGTACCTAGTACAATGGAAAGGGGTACTCGTTGTCCGAAGCTACTTGGGTGAAATCTAGCGATGTGAAGGCTGACCAACTAATCAAAACGTTTCAGGAGAAAAAACCCAACAAACCAAGAGATAATCCCTGACATATGCTTTTGTTTACATACAGGACCTATCCTTTTTGTAAGGGGGGCCAGATGTCAACGCTGCTAATATTGGATATTCTTGCTTTGACAAAATATGCAGAACTGTCTGGTATTTTTAGAGTTAACTTAGATGATGCTGGGAGAGGGAGGAGAAAGAATGTGTGTAGGGAGTAATTAAGATAAGGAATATGTGGGCTGCAGAACGGATGATTGGAGAATGTGATTTATGACTGCAAAATAGAGGAGGGGAAATTCAGATCTTGGCATCCATCCATGCCATGCCGACACTCTGTTACACAAAAAATAAAGACTTTTTAGGATAAACAATGGACATGATAGCAATGTTCCAAAATCTCAGGGGTTGCCACAAAGAAGAGAGAGTCAAGCTATTCTCCAAAGCGCCTGAAGGCAGGACG